CAGACTGAGTCTGTTAAGGTGACCCCTAACCTGTAGGTTGCTGGTGCAATCCCCCATTCCAGCTGTCTCAGTTGTTGGGCAAGATACGTCACCCGCCTTGCCTACTGATGGTGGTCAGAGTGTCCAGTGGTGTTGGTGCACGGCACCCCCGCCTCAGGGCAGCTGTGGCTACAATACCATCATCAGTGTGTGTATGAATGGGTAAAGTTTAAAGCATGTGGATTTGATAAAACATTATACAAGTTCATGCCATTTACCGTTTAGTGACATTTAGATCTTGAAGTGATGCAAAACTGAGAGTCATGCTCACCACAATCTGTAATGTATGACATTGTGATTCTTTTGAGGATAAAAAAATTAACAAAATAACATGCAAGTATTTTRCTTCCCATCTTAGAACACAGTAATAAAGTTATTAATACACTAGTAATCTATGATATCAAATTATGGTACACTTARACCACAAATAGAAACCATATTTAATGTCAATTTCTCTATAGTTTCTGTTGATGAATTTCTATTTTTACAGCAGGAAACATTCAGCGCCTTCTTGGGAGTGGGGAACATCTGTAGGATGGCAGCTATTTTCTTCTTCTCCATAATCATAATCCTCATCTTGATTATCCGTACGTGAGCAGTGGATTATAGATTATGACTCACCCACCATCCAGATTCATTTTATGGTAATCTTGAAAAAAAATAGTTTTTTAATTACTGCTTTTCTCTCTGAAGGAGGAAGGACAGTGGTGTCGAGGGGGAAGCAGCATCTCAACATCTTCACTGTTGAGAATATTTATGAAACGGCTTAATGAGGCTGGCATTATGGCAACAAGAAGACTAAAGAAATTCTGGTTCCAAAATAGTTTGTCATGTGATAAAACAGTCTGACTTGGTGTCTTTTTTAAAATAATTAACTTCAGAATCCTCTAAATAAAAAACAAAAATGTCTTTCTTTCTCACTAAAGCAGCCAAGAGTTTCCATCAGAGGACTCTGAGATGGACAAAGATGGAGAAGGCAAAAATATCCTGCAGATTAATTAATCCGCTTTTAGTTTCTGTCTTTCTGCCAAGAAAAGTTTGGGAATTATTTTAAAGATGTGTTCATACTGCCATCTGCTGGTTTWACTGAATAGTATCAGCAGAATATAAAAGAAAATATGAGTTTACCTTTACAAGCTCACCTTTATTAGGTCATTTAGCTTTACTAAGAGTAACATGRTATAAAGTGATTTATTATCATTTTTATGTTTTATTAAATGCACTTCAAATGATTGAAAACTAGGAGGCAAACATTTTGACTCATAAAGGTAAAAAATGTCCTCAATAGTTTTGAGTCACAATTATTAAGTCTCAGCTGTTYGACAAGATACTTCTTGCATTTTTACAGCATTTTTTACCTCTTTCTAATTTGTAAATATTACTATTTTTTTCTTTTCTTAAGATTTTTTCTTTCTTGCACTGTGACCTCATTTTATTATTTTTGGATGTTAATTTCTTTTGACACATCTGCTTGATTAAAAATCCTAACAACAATGACTGAATTGATTTTATCTCTTACCACGACTGCACAGATTGAAAGCTCGGCGTTTGTGTTTCTTTATGTTTTCGAGCTCATGAAAATTCAAAGTTAGAATTTGAGTTTTCTAAGCTCTTTGTGGGAATAAAAGGGAGATTTATGGGGAAAAGAGGAAGCTCTGAGCTGGTCTGCTTGACACAAAATGGACTTTTGAACTGCACTGCACAGATCAAAAAGCAGAAGACAAGTTAATGTCTGCTTAAAAAGCAACAGAACTCTGTAACATTGAAAACGTGATGTACAGTATCTTTTTCTCCTTTATTTAACCAGGTTAAACCCCATTGAGATCCAGATCTCATGCAAAAGGGACCTGGGCAGAAATCAGCCTATTATCTAATTGTACAAAAAAATCTATCTAATCTAAAAATACATTTCAGAGGAAGGACTTTTCTCACTTCATTGTTCAGCCAATATCAGAATTATTTACAAAAGAGATTAAAGTCATGTCTTTGTTCTATTGATGGAATCATTGACATTCTGTAATATAATCATTTAACCTGGAATAGTGACCTGATTCCACCAAATATAAAACCAAACCTTTTAATTTCCATCATTATTTAAAGCAAAATACAATACATACTGATATATGAAGGCAGCAGCTTGTAGATCAGGAGAGATGAACTAATCCAGTGTTTAAATATGACTGAGTTTTTTTCAACAAAAATCCATTTAATCCATCACATTTAATGTTTTTACACAGATAACATGAATTAAACTTTATTAACTTGTTAAAATAAAACATTCTCACATCCTCAAAAGTTCCATTTAATGTTTATTTCGGATCTGTTTGGAAGAAGTAAAAATGAAGCTGTGATAAAATTCACCCCATTTCACTGAAATTATGTTTTGTTGTTTCTGTTTCGCTCCTACTTCCTGTTCCTCTGTGAATTGTTATTGTAAATATGAAGCGTCATCCGTTCCTTCTCCAGTCTGTGAATTTATTCTCTGAACGTGTTAAGTGATTTCCTTTTTTCACAACTGTACCAAGAAACTTTTGGGAAAATGATTTTTACAGTAAATGAAAGATTGAATGAAAGAATGACTGAACCGTGTTAAATAAAAAAATAATACTTTAATAGAAAATAAGGGTCCTGTCTTTTGGAATTGAAATCTGTGGAAATGCTTTGAACAATCACTATCTTACCTGTTGTGGATAACTCTTTGAATAACCTCAGTGGAAAAAAAGACAAAAACAAAAATAAAAGAACAATATATCTTAAAGTTTAATTCTGATCAGATTGGTAATCGGACTAGTTTGAGCAAATCTACGACCTAACTGAATTGTTACTGTCCACAAAAAAATGTCTAATCTTAAAAGTTCCTTGCAACCTGTGCAGTTTTTAAACC